TTTGCCGGGGGACTGGGTTACCGGCTCACAAGATTCTATTAACAAATTATTACAAGTGTGATATAAGTCTATTGCGATAATTCATTAAGCTTTGACGTCATTGCGGGAAAAAAACTTATTTGAAATCGTTTTGTCCTACATTTAAAAAGAGTCAAGTTATTGCTGGAGCGCAGCTGACGGCTGTGTGCGTCTAGTCTTTTCTGTGGAATATCGATTAAAGCGGGCAAGATGGACCTCTTGCCCATTGTGATCCCGTAAAGAAAAAAATACTGCGTGAATCAAAGTTACCGAGTTTGTGTTTTTTTAATTTTGTCGGCGGTGTAGACGCAAAAAGCGGGAGGAGACAGTCAAAACAAAAAAGACACAAACGACTTTTGTGGGTTTATCGTGCTACAAGAACAATCGGTTTCCATTCCTGACTCTTCAGAAAGACAATTCATTCTTGATTCTAATAAAGCGAAATATTTTTACCATACGATAAATGCTTTATTGCCCAAGCTTGTTTGGTCAATATGGCCGGACGTTAGCCCCGTTTTGTTCCGTTTTAATGGATTTGGACTTCGTCTCAGGACACAAAACGCAAAGAAATTAACCCGGCCAATCCTAGCAGTATGCAGGACGCGTGTCATATATGGACTCCGTTCACCATAGAGTCTCTGTGGCTCAGTGGTCTGAAGTTTGATTCCCCAGGCGAGCTCGCAATTTTTTCGTTGTCCCACGCTCGTAACGAGACAAAAAACATCTTTCTCTACGTCTTTACCGGGCTCGAAACGTACCACCTTTTCATTCCAATCTATTCTTGTTTTTCTTGTTGCCATGTTATCCATGAAAGTTTATTGGATCGAAAAGATTCACTCAGCAGGATTATACCTTTGCATTCATATTCATCCAATCTGAATCCAGGATTATTACAAATGTAGTTGTTCATGTAAGATCCCTTGGTATTTATACAATTGGCATCATCGCTACAGTTGTAAGAATTTAAAATACAGTTTTCGATGCCCTAAATATAATCAATGGATTGTATCCATGATCGTTGTTGTCTTTAGGAAGGAGGGGAGGGGAACGATGGGCTAATGTACAATGCAAAACCAATTCTACCGCTTGTTAATCCAGTTGTGTAGGGGGAAACTTTTGTTTCTTAGATGCGATGGCTGGAGTTCGTTATAATTAGTATTATAAAACTTGTATTTCTACAATGTTCTTTACCTGTGCAATTATGTATATCCCCGGTGAATCCGCGTTTACAAATGCACTTGAATGATCCCTTGGTATTTTGGCAAACGACGTTTTCATTGCTGCAGTTGTGGGTATCTGTTGCACGCTCGTTGATGCCTAAATAAAGTCAAAATACTGAATGACAGAGGTCGCAGGAATTGGGGGGGAATACTGTTTAGTACCTGTGCAG